ATAAACACATACATTATAAATATATATATATATACATATATATATATTTATTTATTTATTTAAATAGATAAACTAACAACAAGAAAAGCTTCAATAAGATTAGTGTCTTCGTCTCTCGCCCAGATAACAGCGACATCGCAGTACGTCGCGTTGCCAATCCACCGTTTGCTGCCGTTCAAAGTAAATCCGCCTTTGATTTTTTTAGCTTTTGTTTGAATATGCGCAGCGTCGCTTCCGAATGCAGCCTCTGTTAATGCAAAACACCCTATCTTCTCCCAGCGCGCCATCTGTATATACACCGCAACTCAGCCAGTACTAAATATATACATATATATATATATATGTAGATATATATGTAGATATATATATATATATATGTATGTATGTAGTTATGTGCAGGTATATGTATATTTATATATGTATATAGGTGTAGATGCATTAATATGTTTTTAGTCATACATTTATATGCGTCTGTCTGCTTACGCTGCTGCTCTATATATATATATATATATGTATATGCATGTACATATATATATATATAGATATATATATATACATGTATACGCATATATGCATGAATATACATATATATATATATATATATCCCTCTCTGCCTGTTCCCAACCCATCCACAACACCTACGACAAAACATACATCTCTATAATCTCTGTAATCTGTTTAATATATTTATATCTTCAATCTCTTTAATATACATACATATATATATATATATATTATTAATAGTATATGAATGTGGATGCCTACCAGGGGCAGCCAATATTGTTTTTGAGCAGGGCTTCCTGCAGCGTCGATGGTTTTCATAGAAAGTGCCGAATGCACAACCGCAAAAGTAAAGAAAGAAGCATCTACTCGCGACATCTCTATTGCTGTTAAGCATGCTTCAGTGTTTGTGAGGCCAGCGCAGCCTATTAGACAGTCGCAGACAGACATACACAGAGTGTATCTACTATCTTATTATCTATTTATTTGGTTTCGCCTATAGCTTTTGTCTTATCTTTTATGAGATGGTGTGAAAAAGAAAAGAACACCTAATAAAAATACAAGCAGAAGAAGCAACAGTAAACATAGCAGCAGCAGCAATAGCAGCATCAGCAATAGCAGCATCAGCAGCAATAACAGCAGCAGCAGAATTATAATTAGAGGTACGATGAATTTATGTCGATGGATTTTCAGAGGTAATAAACAGAATTGCGCATTTGCGTTTGCAACCAGTAGGGTGGTTTTGCTGCTGCTGCTGCCGCTGCTGCTGCTGCTACTACTACTAGTACTACTGCTACTAGTCTCGCAGCAGCAGCAGCAGCAGCAGCAGCAGCAGATCTGACCGTATCCTTTGATTTGAAGCCCTGCGGGCCCGATGGCTTTGCATGCGTCGATGAGACGTCTATCGAATTCTCCTCTCTCCCACATTTCGGCTGCAATTGGCGCTACGCGGGTTTCGCAGATGTTGCGCACATGCAGACGCAGCTGTTCTTCTTTCTCTGTTAAGTCTCTGCTTAACTCTAAGAATGATAAACTGTCAATCACTGAACATAATAAACACACAAACATTATTTTCTCATATATATATATGTATATATACGTATATATATGTATATGCATATATATAATATATATTATATAATACTTCATATTTATATATAATACGTTTTCTAGAGGAAATATAAAAAGATATACTTGGAGGTTGATTTAGATAAAGTGTTATGTTAACGATGAGAATTTAATAATAAAATGTCTTTGCTTGTTTTTACCCTTGGGAGTCTTCATTGCTGATGGTTCTGCTGCTGTTTTTGCAGCAGCGCGGCGCTGCTGCAGCGGCTGTTGCTGTTGTTGTTGTTGCTGCTGCTGCTGCAGCTGCTGCTCTTTAGTTGCAGCATTCATTTTGAAATGAAGGAGATGCAGATAAGGACGGAGAAGAAAATAAAAGAAATATGAAGTCGGTCATGCGCTGCGGCCAGGGCCGCAGTGGGAAGGAGAAGATAATTAAATTAGCAGCAGACACTGAAAAAGATGAAATATTTTGAAATATAAACCACAATAAATTAATAAATTGTTTGACATAAATAAATTAAATGATAGTCGCAAGTTTTTACTTCGCTGGTTTTCAATTGTGGTGTACAGACACTGCAAACTAACCACCAGCCCTGAGTTTCTGCAAGGGGGTAGACGAATCTGCGGTTATTTCCTTTTAATTTAAATTATTTAAATTGAATCAACTTAATTTAATTAAAGTAATTAAAATAAAAAAGATATTTACCTTAAAAAACTGCACTTTACCCCTGGTTTGCAAATTGAGTGCTTCATTCGTCAGCGCAGAGCATGGAGGCGCAGCAATACTACAATAGAAGAAACATTGAATAATGTATAAGCAAATAAAAATAATTAAATAAATATGATTAAATGAACATATTTTAATGAATATATTCAAAAATAACCATCAAACATGCAAAAAATACAAACTTATTCCGAAAAATATAAATTAATATCGACTCAGCTACCATCACTGTTCTCTGCGCTATTTCTGCTCATTAATGCGTCTTCTCTTTTTTAAATATTTAGTTAGATAAAAAGAAAACAGAAACGAAGAGGGTTTGCCTCAGTGACTGACTGTAAGCACTCAATACCACACCCTCTAGGGATATATAGACAGCAAGAAATATCTGCCTGTCTACGGTGTACATACACTGCATTAGTATACTTCCAATTATTTCATTCTAAAGCGCTACTTAGCTTTATCTCAGTTTATTTAAAGCTGAAGACTCAAAAAAGTTCAAAGGCAATTATTGACAAAAGAAAAAACATAACAGTTCGTGAGAGTCTCCCCACGATGATATATTTATTTTATTTGTTCGTTTTAAGTTTTATCTTTTTATCTTTCAAAGCTTCATTTGTTTGTTTGGAGGTCTTACTTTTATCTTTCTTTTTGTCTTCTTTTTCTACCGTTTTACCCCTCTTTATTTGTCGTGTATCTGTGAATTTATGTATGAGTTTAGCATTGTTATCTTCTTGTACTTGTTTGTTATTATTTTCATTTATATTAGATTCATTTGCTTCAGCAGGAGGGGGTTTATTATTTGCATAATACTCGGCAGCTTGTGCATATTTGGGGTGTATATACACCGGAAGTGCAGGGGTATCTGTAGCTTGCACATGAATATTAGTAATAACATTTCGCCACTTATGATTATCTTGAAAAAACTCAGAAGCACCTTTAATTGCAGCAATAGCATTAGCATAAAGCCGCTCAGCACCCCCCATAACCCTTCCAATACGAAGAGCTAATGAACTGCCTCTTCTTAGGATTAGCGGTGTACTTCTATGCGCTTTCTTTGCTTCTCTTTCTATTGTTGAGGGCCCCACACGTATAGGCAAGGGCAGCCTGAAACATATACAGAAAAAATAACATATAAAATACATTCATGATAATGAAATACTTTTTATTTTATCTTCAAAACAGATTATTAAAAACAAATAAAAGGGAAGTACTATATATATTAAAGATATATACATATATATGCATATATATATGTATATATATACGCATATATATATATATACTGTACATGTTAAAACAATATCTATCAAAAGACTGCAACGGAGGTAGCTGCAGATACACCATAAATAAGTAAAAACAAAGACAGCAGCAACAGCAGCACAAGAAGCAGCAGCAGCATCAGAAGCAGCACCATCAACAGCAACAGCATCAGAAGCAGCAGCAACAGAAGCAGCAGCAGCAGAAGCAGCAACATCAGAAGCATCAGGAGCAGCAGAAGCAGCAGCAGCAGCAGCAGCAGAAGCAGCAGCAGATGACTCACTTGTTTGCACTGAAGAAGGTTTTTCCTAGTATATTATAAACCTTTTCTTTGACTTTTGAATCGACTAGAAAGAGATCGTAGGCGCTGCAGAGGCTTCGTTTATCTGCAAACTGAGGAAATTTCTTTGACAGCTTTTTATAAGAAATTACTTTCTTTATAAAAGATAAAGAAGGCTGCGCTGCTGCAACTATGTCCTTCCACTTCCGCTGCGGGTCCTTTACAATCAAACACACCTCGCCTGAAGCATCGTGAGGGCTGTACGGTAACTCGCTGCACACACAACAGCGCATATATATATATATATATATATATAATTATGTATGGAGCGTATACGAGTGAGATGAAAACAGAGATTGGGTAAGCAGCAGAACGAAGAGAAAAAAGACGTAAAGAAGTAAGAGGGAAGAGTAGAGTTTAATATGCTGCGGTGTATATACAAAGGCGTACATAAGATGGGGGTATATGCGCTGGCCTTCAGGAACATTTTGCAGAGAAAACATCAAAGAAACCATGGGGCCTCCGCTATTAGCAAGGAGATCTTGAATCTCTTCTTCTTTTTGCTTCTTTTGCACGTGACGACAGAGCGCTCCAATAGCTCTTCGCAGTCTTTCGCAATCAACAACACCTCCGTTAAGACTAATATTCTCGGTAGCTGTACCTGCAGTGGAAGCCGTCTTAGAGGCTTCTTTGCTGCATGCAGAGGGAAAAGAAGAAGAAGAAGTCTTAGCTTTCTTCTTAATCCCCATATCCTGCGAGACAGAGGCAGAATCTACTTGCAAACGGTGCCGCTTCCCTGTTTCTGCATCTTCGGGTGTATGGGCACCCCGGGCTGCCTTCGGGTGCTGTTTTTCGCGGTTTTTCTTCTTTAGTTTTATCATCTTCAATAAGAGAAACAATCCAAAAGAATACTTCTATGAAGTTTCCCGCCCTATGCCCCACTCAGGCCAACAGGGGGGCCCTTCCTAAGATGAGAAGCAAGGAGCCGTGCGTTTGTTTTATTGATTTCCTATTAATTCACAGCTCATCTAAACGAATTCCCTCCACTAAAGAATTAAATATGTTTTCTAATTCCTCTTCATTCTCTCCGTTTCTGAAATGCATGCAATGTGGGGCAGAGTTTCAGGCCGTTGAAAGCCCCAAACTGACTTGCAATAGAAGCTGACCAGGTGAATTTTGAGGGAATTGGCGGGTAAAAAGGCGGAAAGAAGACATTTTCATGATTAATTTTCTCTAATCTACCTTCTAAACTCTCTGATATCTGTTTCTGTCGCTATTTGCTGCGCCCTTCTTCACCTCGGTTTCGCTACCTTCACAGGGTATTGCAGATTCCGGGGTGTACAGACAGCGCAGCGGTTCTCGATCTGCATTATTTTAGCTTTTCTTTTACTCCTTTTCATTTATTACTTCCCAGGTATATGTCTGTCTGTGCTGCTCTCTTCTGCTTCTGAGCTCCTTCGCGCCGCCATATACTCCTCTTTTTACTTTGTTGTTTTCTGCATGCGAAGGTAAATACCCAAAACTGGCGAAGACAAACAACGGAAACTCAGGGCAGCACTCGGAGATCGCCTCTGCCCCCTCAAGGCCGCATTTCTGTCAGTGGGCGGCCTGCGTATTGTTTATTTCCTTCAGGCTTAGCTTAGCTGCTTTGTATATGCATGCACGTACACCCGAGCTGTTGTCTCGGGCTTCCTCTTTGCATGCGTAAGTTTTGCTGCGCCAGTTTGCAAAGCAACACAGGAGGCGAGTCTAGCTGCTGCCGCTGCCGCTGCTGCTGCTGCTGCTGCTGCTGCTTGGCCTCCTGCTGAGCTCCCTTTCGTGGATGATATAACAACAGCAGAGAATGTTGCCGCTCTCTCTCACTTCAGAGCTCCTCACAGACGCACAGAGTCTCGATCAGCTATTCACAGCTCAAGCCAACGACTGCGAGGCGCAGCAAGGAGGGTCCGAATGGCAGCAACCCCACGAGCAGCACGGGGAGGCGGAGCAGCAGCAGCAGACAGACGAAGCAGCAGCAGATGCGGATGCTGCTGCTGCAGCTGCTGCTGCAGAAGCAGCAGCAGCAGCCCTGGTAGACTCCCCAACTGCAGCCAAGACACCCAGCTGCTCCACTCCAGAGGAGGGGCCCCCACCCCTCAAGAAGCTTGCAACAGCAAACCCGTCGACTTCGCAGATAGAGGAGCAGCAGCAGCAGCAGGAGCAGCAGCAGGCGCAGCAGGAAGAGGAGGAGCAGCAGGAGAAGCAGCAGCAGCAAGGCAAGGAGGGAGGGGGGGCCCCGAGGGCCCCCGCAGCAAACCCATCAGACCTCCCGCCGCTGCTGCCGCTGCCTTCCAGCCCTCTGCTGCATCCATACGGAACGTTGAATCAGCAGCAGCAGCAACCGCCACCCCCACCACTTCAGCTGAGCAGCAGCAGCAGCAGCAGCAACAAGGGGCGAGGCGGTGTGGCTGCAATGCTGGAGCCGCAGACACCGCAGCCGCTAGCTGCTGCTGCAGGAGCAGCAGCAGCAGCAGCAGCGAGCTCAGGAGGGATCTTAAGCAGCCCTGGGAGAGGGCGGCTGCTTCCTGCTGCTGCTGCAGCACAAGCAGCAAGCAAGAAGCCGTCGTTAATGGGGCCTGCCCCCAGACAATTTCTGCATCTGCCCCCCCCACCTCCAGCTCCGCCCACAACCCCCCCTCCTCCTCCTCTTCTACCCCGGGCGCCGCCCCACTACCCGCAGCAGCAGCAGCAACAACAACAGCAGCAGCTGCTGCTGCAGCAAATGCAGCACCTACAGCAGCAGCAGCAGCAGCAGTATTCAGGGGCCCTACCCCCGCTGCTTCCAACCCCAGCCAGGCCTCGCGGTGTCGCACCACCGCCTCCGCCGCCGCCGCCCCCCGAACCTGCTGCCCCACAACCCCCACCCCACATTGCACCTCCACCCCCACCTGCAGCAGCAGCAGCAACAGCAGCAGCAACAGCAGTGCCAGCAGTAGCGGCTGTTCCAGCAGCACCAGCAGTGCCTGCAGCACCAGCAGTAACTGCAACAGCAGCAGTACCTGCAGCAGCAGCAGTGCCAGGGACTGTTGCTGCAGCAGCTGCAGCAACGCCTGCACCTGCTGCAGCAGCACCGGCGAAGCAACCCCTCATGTCGTGGCCTCCCCCTGCTGCAGATCAGCAGCAACAGCACCTGCTGCTGCAGCAGCAAGAACCCACAGCAGCAGCTGTTGCTGCTGCAGCTGCTGCTGCTGTCGGCTCCGGCTCGCACATGCAACAGCAAGCAGCAGCAGCCATGCACCTGCAAACCTCCATGTGGGAGGTGGCAGCTGCACAGCAGCAGCAGCAGCAACAGCAACAGCAGCAGCAGCTGCTGCTGCTCCACAGCAGCAGCATCTGGCCGACAGCAGCAAGTGGAGCGTACATAGACCCAATGATGCAGACAACTTGCTATCACCCGCTGCTGCAGCAGCAGCAGCAGCAGCAGCATCTCTGGTATGCGGCTTCCCCTGCTCAGCAGCAAATGCAGGAGCAGCTGCAGCAGCAGATGCAGCTGCAGCAGCAGCTTCAACTCCAGCAGCAGCAGCAAGACCCAGCAACTGCAGCAGCAGCAGCAGCAGCACTCGAGGCGTGGAATGGAGTCTGCCTCGACCCCAGGAAGACGGCGTAGCGACGCCTGCAGCAGCAGCAGTAC